GCCGCCCGCCCGCCTGCCGCAGCTCCCGCTCACCGCGCCATGTGCCACCGTCCTTCCCTCCCCGCCGTGCTGCTCGCTAAGGACACGCTGTGGCACAGCTGTCTGAGCCTCTGCTGCAGTCATGCAGGTTTGGATTACTGTGCACGCTACTGATGTCGAGCTCCTGTCGTGACCCAGCGCCCCATAGGAGGAGCAAATGAGCTGAGACGTCAACGCAAAAATTATAGCCATGCGAGCGATCCCTGCACTCAGCTGCGCGGAGAGTGCATACATGGCTTGTGTGACAGCAACGGCACACAGAAGCAGCAATGAAATGCAGTTAGCAATACAGCTGGGAGACAGGCAGCGAGGCAGGCACTGGTCCAGTGACTAAAATGATCCTGCCGTGAGCCAGCTTGCAGTGCCTCCAAAAGTGGCTGACTACTACACAGGATCTCGGCTTTCTTTGCGATTACTCCAGTTCCCCCTGGGTGACTGCAGTGTGTGCTCTGTTTTGGTTTTGTTTGCCTTTGTAAATTTTTTTTTTTCCCCCACCCGTCTCCCTCTCTCCTCCCGTGTCCTTCTTTCCAGGATGGCGGAAGCAGAGTTGCACAAGGAAAGGCTCCAAGCCATAGCAGTAAGTCAGTTTCATTTTACTTGCTCTTTTGTCCATAGCTGCGGGTGAAGGGAAGGGGGGATTCCGGCACGGTGGCTCTGAAGCACCCAGAGAGCCTGGCTTTCAACGAAGTTGTGCGTGGAGTTCCCCGTTCGGGAAATGACTGGTTAAAGTCTGCTTTGCAGGATTTGGCGGAGAAAGAGGGCTCTGAGGAAGAGCGTTGAGCTGACACGTGCAGAAAGAAAAATGTGAATGCACAGTGGCACGCTTAAAAGATTAATGATGGAGAAGAAAAGAAGGAATAAGTGGGGAGGAGGGGAGATTGCAGGAGAAAATCAGTACTCTGCTGAAAAGATATTTTCTCACAGTGGGAGCTTTAGCTTAGCTGATTAAGAAGTTAAACAAAATGATCTGCTGCAGGGTGGCTTTTGCTGCAGAAAATAATTGTGATACTACTAATTTTTAAGACAATCCAATACAAACACTGCATTATCAACCTTTTCTTCAGAGCTGCTATCTAGCAATTGATTAGTACTAGGTGTTAAGAATCCTTCATTTATAAGGCGTAAAGTCTAGACAAGGATTTTGCCCCTTTTTAGTTAAAACTTTTCACGTTTAGCACCATAATTTGGAGTGAGCCATGGGCTTCAGCTGGTGCAGACCTCAGAGGAACATGAGCAGTGACACCTCGTAAGGATTGGGCCTGGCTGTTTAAAAACCGTCATCATCCCGGCACACAGAAATTGCCAGCTCATCTTCTGCACAGCACAGGCACCGTGTCAAAATGCCAGCCTTTCTGTGGGCACTGCCAGTCTGCCAGCCCCACACAGCCTGCCCTTGTTCGAGTGACACCCAGCTCTTCTTCCCCAGGGCTGAAGTGTTGATGCAGCTGTGTGGTTCGCAGTCGGGTGGCACGGTCCGTGCCGGGGACCACACACCTGGAGGTTTGAAGTGTCTGACAGAAGACGGCAGAGCCTGCATGGGTTTTACGTTCCCTTCCCTGGTTCTCCCAGTGATCAACAGATGCTATATTTTACTGTAGCCAGCAGAGATTACAGATTTCCTTTGTAGTAAGAGGAATGGCTGCTGCTGCTGCTGCTGCTGCTGCTGCTGCTGCTGCTGCTGCTGCTGCTGCTGCTGCTGCTGCTGCTGGTGTTCCAAGCAGTTTTCTTTAAATTTACTATTCCACTAATGGGTCCACGGAGATTTAAAATAACCAGATGTAAACCAAATAGATTGTGGTTTTTTTTCCTCTAAAAAGTCTTTCCTTAAAAAGAGCAAATGGTATCATTTGATACAGGGGGAGAGATACTATAATAGTTTAATTTTCAGGCAGCAGAAAGTAGATGCATATTTTTAAGGTGGTTCACAGTTTTCTGTCAGCATAGGCATTGCCAAATCTCCAAATGGAAAAACTGGGGACATTCCCCCGGAGGCAACCCTCACCACTGCCTCTGGTTGGGACTCCTGTACGGCAGAGCCGTACTGCAGAGCTGCTCCACACACTGCTGCTCTGCATAGTGCTAAAAAACTTCCATCTCCACATTAAAAACAATGTTTAGATTATTGCTGCTTCTTTTGACTGCTATATAACAGAAAACCAAGCAGCACCCATTTCCACTCCACATGATGTGCTTAAACCTTTCACCAAAGTAAATCAGATGCTCTGTTTCTTGGAGCTTTGCATTTCAGACCAATGAGGCCATTATGGATATAAAATGATCACCTGGTGTATTGCAGCTTTTTACAGTAGATTTATGCTGGTATGAGAGAAGGCCTTCAGAATCTTGATCTTCATTTTCTATATATATTTTCTTTTTGGTTTCTACCTCTAGCCACAAATAAAACATAGTATAGCAATGTAGGTAGTGAATTAGCTTGAAAGAATTTTACTATAGCATAAGAAATATTCAGTCTTCTTTTAAGCTTGAATGTGGGTCCATGAACTGACTTGTTTTCTTACCCACTCTGCAGAGCAAGAGATTTTTCCATATAAACTTGTTAGATAACTTTTCTTCTTGAGTGCTTGGGCTGCTGCAAATGTTTGTCATAATGTAGATAAGTTAATTTCTAGGTTAAGCTTTGCTCCATCAGTATGAGTGACATGGCACAAGTTAGTCACTTCTACCAGTTGGCTAAAATAAGGTCAGTCCTCAAAAGTTGCATGGCCTTTCTTAGAAGGAAAAACAGATAACATTTTGGTTCAGCTTGGTGTTCCCTCTATTTTAACAAGGTGCAGCGTCTCACTCAGAAGAGCAGAAGTTTACATTAGCACTCTTGAATCAAGATGGTTGAATGCTAGGCATATAGGAAGAAATCCATTTCCCACTGGGACTTCTACACTAGATTGTCTGTAGTTTGTACTTGCTTCGGTCACCACAGCAAATGAACTCGCCAGGAAGACAGGCAGAGTAAATTTTAAGTGTGCATCACTGAGTGTTTAAGGAAAATAAAATCCAAACATGTAAATATGAATATTTGCACCAGAAGGCTATCACCTTTTGAAAAGTTTGATTTTGTACTGTTATTGTGACTAATCACAGTTCTATGCCTGTCTGGTGCAAAGTGTCATGGGAAGAGGAAAAAGGGATCTAACTGTTAGGACATTAATCTAAACCTTGGTGAACATCAGCCAGCCACTTGTTTTGCCAGCAGCAAATACTTAGTCTCTCTCTGCATTCATTTTCCATCTGTAAACTGTGAATAATGGACTTTGCCATGTCTCAGAGCTGTTAGGGATGCATGCAAGTTCGAGGAGAACTTGGATGCTATGGTTTACCAGGGTAAGAAACAGCTAATTAAGTCTTTAAAAAATAGAATGTGTGATTCTAAAAAAACCCCAGCTTTAAATGTATATGTTTTTAATACTATTATACATGCTTAAGCTGTGATTTTTAGACTCTTCTGATTCTGAAGTTCCTAAAATTCACAAACTGACTATAACAAGACTCAGACCATTGAGGTGGGCTGGTTTAAGAAGTGGGGACATGTGAGGCAGCTACTAAAAATGGAACTCACTTCTCTCTGCTTGGGAGGAAAACACAAACTTTGTGTCCTGGGGAGGTCCTGTGATGGCCAGGAGTGATTGGTTTTCTGCTTGTTCCTTGAGAAGCACTCAAATCAGATCTCCCCAGTTGGGCATCATGTGTGCCACAGACAGATATTGGTAAATCATTCTGTTGTGCCACACCACTCTGAAAATCTGTTTGAGCCTGACCCTAAATCACCATCGTACCAATCTGTTGCTCTACTGCCAAGGGAGCCAAGTGGTGCCAGCTCCGAACACTGCAGGAAAATGCCTTTCAGAAGGCAAGCAAGAGGTTAAAAGAGGAGGTTGGAAGCCGTCTTCTCTCAGAGCTTGTTACTATAACATATTCAGTGCTTTCATCTGCTCTTTTCCTGAAGGGGGGCAGTGGGTAAAATTTTGGGTGAAAAAGGAAGCATTTTTGTGGCTTTAAAAAATATGCCTGCTGTGAGTTGCTCAGAAGTTTGGAATGCAAACAGTCCCGGACGATGCAGGCTCCATGGCCGAGGGACAGGTGAGCGGAGTTAATTTATCACATTTTGGATAAATAAACTGTGTGGCTCCACAATTTATTATATAGCCCCCTTCTGTATGACTGCAGAGATCACCACCAGATAGTGATCTAAACATAGCCAAAGATTTGCGAAATGTAAATATTTTCCATCGCTTAGCTAGCAGTCATAAAGCCGGGAAGCGGAGGCGTTGAGCATGTATCAGTGCATCTGGGGTACAAATGCACATATGATGCAGTGAATATGTGTTACCCATCCCATATATCAGGTGAATTAAAGGGGCAATCATTGAGGGACAGCACTGGGGAGAGATTGTCCACTAGAGCAACAACCAACACGGGAGCTGGAGGAGGTTTTCACGTTAAGATGTCCAGCCTTGCAGATGCAAGTGGGAAGCTACTAAAATGTACTGATTTCTTAGCAAGTAAAAGCAACAGTAACAATGGTTGCAGTTTACCAGTGCCCAGCTCTGAGAACCAGTAGCTCAGTGAAGCATTAAAGAAAGGTAATTACTGACATTCAAGTAACCATGTCAAACATACCTCCTGTTGAACAGGACCATTCTTTCCTTTTCAATGAGATTATGAGTTTGTTGAACTGGATCTAACATCACCTAAATGTCATTAGGTGTTTGACATAGTATGGCAGGACACTTGTTTAAAAATAGTCCCCTTCTGCATCAGTGGGGTCTACCTTAGATGGATTAAGGACTGGCTGACTGACAGGTCACAAAAAGTTGCTGTTAGTGAGAGAGATTTTGTTCCTGGAGAGCAAAGGCAGGGGAGAGTTTATAGGAAGCAGCTTTTCAGGGCTTTAAGGTGTTCTCTGTTGGTACTTTGATGTAAATGAAAAATCAAAATTGATAGTATGCAAGTAACTAAAACAGTGGTGGAGGAGTAATTACAATGACAAAATGCAGTCCTGCAGAGCAAGTTGGATTATTTGGTAAAAGGAGTCATCCATTTAAAGACCTTCACACATATATACAGCTGGTGTTAATGAGGCCAATATGGAGTCCAAATATAAGGGAGTACAGGGCCAGCACCACGGAAGAGGAGTCTGCAGTCTGAGCAGTGCTGCCTTTTGGCAGGACTAGAACTAGGGTGGGAGATAATTCAGCAGGGATAAGGAGGTGATCCTTGTCCTGCAAAGGATATTAGTTTCACACCAGTTAAACCTATACCAGGTAATGTTTTAGAGTCCTCCCAAAAGGCAGGCAGGTCCATATATATTTACATAAAGCGTTACCCTAATTGTTTGACAGGTCTTTAAGAATAGTAATACAATTATCATTTGGAAAGATAGTACTGGTGTATTTTCAGTATCGCAGTTATTGGTAACCTAGGCATTGTATGTTTCTGGGTTGGACACTCAGCAACTGCAGTGAGTGTCATATGATGTCCATAAGTTTCTGAAAGTTTATTGACAGAAATCCAGTATCTCTTTTTTTTTTTTCTTTTCTTTTCTTCCCCCCCCCCATTCGC